AGAAATCTACCACCTAAAGATATGTCGGGCATAAGGTATCAAAAAATTCATGCAGGTCCCTTATCCATAAAGCTGCTGTTTGACCTACTCCTCTCAAATGAGGAAGTAAACAAAAAAGGTGAAAATATAAAACCTTTAGAACAGGAGACCTAATGAGGGTGAATAAGAGAGGGATAACTCCAAAATAAAGGTACATGTGTATTCCAAGGATAATAACTGCTTGGATGCAGGGGTAAAGAATGGGTGTATTTTGATATACCTAGGGTTTGGGGTTTTTGGATTATATATAACAGAAAAATGAGATAAAGTAATTATTGTAATGATGAAACATTGAGACTATTTTGTCTAAGGATAAAAGTGTAGCCAGGAGTGGCAGCACATGCATGTAATCCCGGCACTTGGAAGTCAAGGCAGGAGGATCAGAATTTCAAGATCAGCCTAACCACAGAGCAAGTTTTCCAAACCTGCTTGTCATACATGAAACCCTCTCCCCAAAAAAACCAAAGTAAATAAAATAAATAACTAAAATCAATTGGAATGAACATAAACCTAGAGGAGAGATGGGGAAATTGGCAGCAAGATCAATGATTTGGAGGTCTGGAGGGAGGAAAAGAGAAAATTGTGCAAATAACCTAGAATAAGAGTCTGTGGTCAGAGAATTTAAGTCATCAAGAATCAGAGCATAGTTACTAGTGTACAAAGGGAATGTATGGTGAAGGGGAATAAATGTCACCAAGCACTGAGAAGCACAATGGTAGAGCCATGGAAATGGATATTGTAGCTGTCCATGAGGAGGGAGAACTAAGAGCAAACCAATGCAAGAGAACCAGGAACCAGCATATTCAGTTGAAGGATGGCATGAGTTAATTGAAATGATACACAGATTCGTGACTGATGGTGATGCAAAGGGGATGGGATACCCAAGTGGCTTCGGTAAGAAAATATCAGCCATGAAACAAAAAAGGAATGACAGAAAACAAAAACAAAATGTCTTTTGTTTTTAAAAGAGGAAGAGCTACCCTTAGGAGATGTTATGTTTCATTTAAAGGGAGTTAAGGAACAGAGGTTTTATGTTTCCTGAACAAAGAGCAGGAGAAACAATTGGCAGAGTAGAGGATAATCAGCTGGTGAAGGGGGGTGGGGTTGATCAAATTAGGAACAGATGAAGTAGGAACTGCCAGGCCTCCACAGTAGCGACAGTCGCAGATAAAGATTGGCATCTGGTGATGCCTGAAGTTATAGTGGATGTGAAGCATGGTAACACCATCTTGGCCTTCGCAAAGAACCCTGAACACTGACTCCGTGCGCAGACATGCATCAGTGTGGTTCCAGAGCAAGCAGCCTTGACAAAAGTCACAGAATCGCAGGCTCAGTACCAGGCTTTATGATTCATAACCTGCCTTCTAATGGCATCCACGGTAGGGAAAATAAAATCTAGTAAGCATTCCTTAGTAATTTCTGTTCTAGTTCATTTCTGTTGCTGTGATAAAATACTCTCACAAAAGTAATTTGGGGGAGAACAGAATGTCTCAGCTTTCAATTTCAGGTTACAGTCTATTATCATGGGGGAGTCAAAGTAGGACCTTTAAACAGCTAGTCACATCACAGCCACAGTCAAGAAAAACGAGAAATGAACGCATACATGTTCACTTACTTGCACGCAGCTCAACTTCTTCACTCTTACACAGTGCAGGCCCATCTTGACTAAACTAGCACCACATCAGTTTTCCCACATTAGTTGGGTTTTTCAACATCAGTTAACTCAATTAAAGCAACTCCCCCATAGACATACTGTCCTAGTTAGCTTCAGGTGTCAACTCGACACGGCCTACAGTTAGCTGAGTCTCAACTGAGGGCTTTCTAAGATCAGACTGGCCTGTGGCTATGTCTGAGATTATCTTGATGATTGATTTGGGAGGGCCCAGTCTACTGTAGGTGGCATCACCCCATGGCAGTTGGGCATGGGCTGTATAAGAAAGCTAGCTGAGTAAGTCAGTGAGTGAACCACCAAGCAGAATTCCTCCATGATTCCTGTCTTCAAGTTACTGCCTTGAGTTCCTGCCCTGACTTCCCTCAATGAAGGATTATAATCTGGAAGTGTAAGCCAAATGAAATATTTCCTCCCCAAGCTGATGTTTGTCAAGGTGTTTTATCACAGCAACAGAAAATGTAACTAGAACACATACCCACAGGCAAACCCAATGCACACAATCCCTCGTTGAGACTCTCTTCCCAGGTGATTCTAGGTTTTGTCAAGTTGACAGTTAAACTAAATGTCAGAATTACCCATTAAAATATGGATACAGTTTTCTATCTTTGGCTGAGGGAGCCACCAGATCTGATGGTGTTCACTCCACCATGGGACTGTTTTGCTCCAAAACATCATGTAGTGATGCCACCACTGTGATAACCACATTACTAAACCTTTGATAGGGACTATTTTGTACACTATTAATGCCTAGTGTTTGATACGATCAACAAAACAGAAAATATCTTTCACAAATACTGTTGAAGACTAGAGAGCAAGAGTGACAATGTATGCTTCCTTGCATCAAAATCCTGAGAGAAATCAACTTAATAGCAGAAAATTGATTTTGATTCATTTCAAAGGTTTCTATCTGTGGTTGCTGGCTCCACTGCTTGTGCTGTGTAGCAAGCACAGAGCTCCTGACCTCGCCACAGCCGGAGAGAAGAGGAGAGATTCCCACAGTCCCCTGTAACCCTGGCACTGTCACTTCCTCTCTGAACACCCCACCTCCGCGGAGTCCCACCACCTGCAGTACCACCACCATATCTTTCACAACATGACTTCTGGGGGAACATTTAAGACCCAAACCCTAGTACTCTGAGTGTAGTGCAACTGGGATGAGAGATATGACAGTCAAAGTGTAAATTCACACACAAAAATCTGTATGAAATACTTAAATGAAAACATATGGAAACATACACACACACATACACCTCTGTGTTTTATGCATGCGAATTCCCTCACAAATACACTATTGTAGGGCCAGGGCCTTTTACTTAATATGAACAAGATTCTAAGAGTTCTGAAACATCTTCCTCAAACAAGTCACACTACAGTTGCACTTTTAAGATTTTTGTTGTTGTTGCTATAAAAGTGAATTATAAGTTCACTTTGAAGATATCAAAATTGAATTTTTCCCTAATAGTGACTTTTTTTCACTTATTTTTTTGGCTTTTGTTTTGTTTTGTTGAATAGGGTCTCATTTGACCCAGGCTGACCTTAAATTCACCATGTAGCTGAGAATAACTTTGAACTTCTGATCTTCTTACCTCTACCTTCCAGAAGCTGGGATTAGACACATGTTCCATCATGCCTGGTTTTATTTGGGAATTTAAGTCAGGGGAAAATAGGCAAGCACTTTGAGTTACTATATTACTTCACTTATGTTTTCATGAGTTATGTACATTCATTCATGGTAATAAAGGGATGTAAAATTTTACCATCATTTAGGCAGGTTTAGTACATAGCTTATTTTCTCCTATGGCTAATTACATAGGCACATCTCAGCTTTTGATATGGCTAATTATGTAGGTACATCTCAGCTTTTGATTAGCCTGCCCACATGGTTAACCTTAGCAGGTTCAGCAAAGCAGTACATTAATACAGATTTCCGAGGGCCTGGTCCTCTGGAAGGACGGCAGTATGCCAGGTCTTCTGTAGCAACTAGACCATTTGCCATGGCAGCTTCAAATTGAGCAAGAGTTCCACAATTTCACACTTGAATGCAGGCAAATCATGCAGGTGGATGACAGCCAGGCTCCATAAATAACTCCCTGTTAACTCAAGACAGTTAAAAAGGCACACCACCTCCCAAAGGGTCAATCCTTAATCAAATTACTGTTATGACACTTTTGTACCAGCTTGAGGCTGCCATATCAGGTAATGACCTTCCCCTGGATGTAATGAACACAGCCACAACAGCATCAACCCACTCTAAGAAGATTTTACTTGATCATGATGCAATATATGTGACTGTATGTTACGGCCTACATATGGGTTTTAAAAAACAAGCTTTATGCAAATTCCTTTATAAAATATTGTTAAAAATTTTGCTTTGTTTTGTATTGCTTTTAGAGATAAAACAAGTTTTGAGGGCAGCTTTTACTTATGATCATTCATGTTTAGTGGAACAAACCGAGAAGCAAATTACACAGCAAAGTGACCACTACTGTAGGTTTAATGTTACAGATTATCATTAGCTATGATAATAAAAAATATATTTATTGTTAATAACAAATTTGAAAGGTGGGATGTCACCTACATTCAAAATATAACATACTGGCATACTGTATTTCAAAACTGTTTATCCAAATGATACAGCTAAAAAAATGATAAAAAGCCTTACTATGTCCCCTGTAACTTTTAATACAAAG